TGACCTGATGATAGCGCTTCTTCTCTGCTAATTCATGTTAACGTTGCAGGCCTGTACCCAAACGAGATATTGCCAAAATGATGTGGGAAGCTGCCGGTTAGTACGTTACATTAGTTAAAACTCTGTAGGGTAAGCATACGTATAAGGACCCTAATAAGTCTGACCCCACCCTGCTTGGTTTAGATTTCAATGGGTTCATAGAGAAATCAGAAAATTATACAACCTGATTGAACAACTTTCAGACCTTTACGATAACGCCATTAGAACGATNCTGGATTCCATTCGAATAACTGGACAAGTCCAACAACAACGTATACTCGTGTAGCTGTAGAGGACTTGTTTGTGACGAATACGGTGAGTGGTAATCATCATAAAGGAATTGGAGGACGAAAGCACAATCTCTATCGATGGACCTTGCAGGTATCTGCGAAAATGCCCATGGTTTGGCCACCATCAACGCGCTCATCTCAACTCAATCCGAATGCCAATCCATTCCAACCAGCCTACCAGCGATCACAACCTCTTCCCCAGTAAGTGTTCACTACTGGTTAGGGATACAATTCTTCGTAGACCCTCGTCTACCTGCTGTTGTGCAGAAAGGTCCTTGGGCTGCTTTCAGTGATTGGAACCCTATTAGAGCTCAGCCCAAAAAATCATTTGCGAGGGCTCTCCCTCTTCCTCTCTTGTTAGTTGTTCCGCAGCGGCGCTTATCGTTAGGAATGGTCTCACTCTTCGCTGAAGCAGCCGTACGCATCCTTAAGAACGTCTGAAACGAAATGAAACCTGCCAGAAAACAATGAAAGTGGTGTTTTGTATCATTTACTCCTTATCGGACTATCATTAGCACATTGTCCGTCGCATTCGTGATCACCCATGAGTCGATGGGGGTCTCGGTCGATACGCAACCCGCGTCCACTTTCCGCTCCCACAGAATTTCACCTCCCGTAGGAAGGAATGTCATGTGTCGGGTTTTCTTCAGTTTCTCTTGCCACCTTGTTTTTGAATTTTTATTTTGTCTACGATACATGCTTCCTCGCTTTCCTCGGAAAAGACGCTCTCTTGCTCCTTTTTCTCATGGCAATCCTTTTCTTATCGTTTCTTTTGTTCTGTTGTGATTGAGGATACGCAGAAAGGTCCAGTCACGATAGAATTGGATTCTAGAAACTTTAATAATTGATGTCGCCGTAACTGCTTAGTCTATCCCATCACTCTACTGCTTTGCTATAGTGTAGTGCAGATTCGCTAGCAGCGTGCCGTCATTCCTAGAGGGTTGTGTCGAAGCGCTGCATGTCCTTACAGAACCCCTTATCAAAAAAGTTTTCAGAGCACATCGGTCGTCTCAACCAGCTATTGTCAATCCTTTGCCAGTCAAAAGTACGGGTAAGGCTGGCCGTTTTCATCAAAGTTCGCTGGACGACCCTCATAGATGGTAAATACCAATAGTTATGCAACCGAGCCCCTTTTTTCAGCGAATCTAAAGCAGACAACAAGCCACAATACGAGTCCACCCAGCGAAACGAAACGGCAGAGGCCGGACATTGTCCCGAGCCACAGCCTACCCCAGAACACGTACATGAGCAGGGGCACGATGTATTTTGGTCAGACTGCTGGTTCTTCGTTCGATGATGAAAATGAGGTGGTGAGCTTCCGACGCTTATGCTTTGCCATCGACAATGCGAATAATCGATTTAAGACTGTTGCTTCCGATACGGAGACAAGTGTGGAACCAGAGAAAAAGCCACAGCTACTGGATAGTATGGCTGGGATCCTCAAGTATGTTATACTTGGACAATGTGTAGCGACAAACTTGAATCTGCAATAATGTTTTTCCTGCAGGATAAGGGTAAGGAGAGGGGTAGGGGGAAGGGAAGGACAGGGAAGGGAAGAGGGAGGAGATAGAGTTTTCTTCGGGGAAGTCTTCCCATTGGAGGCTGGTATTAACGTTATTTAGTTCACAATAACGAGTTCTCTGGACGACCATCTGGCTCTTACAGTATTTCGGCCATGTGTCCTGACTCGAACGTTTGGGCATGAAGCAAATGGCTAGATAGCATGTGTTTGCTGCGGATCTACGCGACTAAGGAACTTATTCGAATGCCGTTACTGCGGTACTGAACAACATTGAGCGACGAATGAAGAGAGTGGCGATATCCCACTTAAAAATATGACTTCAATAACTGTTGACAGAGTTGAAGGACTCGTAGAAGATTGTGCCAGGATCACTCTGGTACAATCTTCTGGCTATGTGTCATATGCCTCCCCTCCTGTAAGGCTTTGTGACTGGAAATCGGTGGAGAATATACTTCAGCTCTATGAGAGACGCTTGCCACTCGCGTTTGCGAATATACGATTGAATCTGATCCTAAGCTGGCGCTGACCTGATGATAGCGCTTCTTCTCTGCTAATTCATGTTAACGTTGCAGGCCTGTACCCAAACGAGATATTGCCAAAATGATGTGGGAAGCTGCCGGTTAGTACGTTACATTAGTTAAAACTCTGTAGGGTAAGCATACGTATAAGGACCCTAATAAGTCTGACCCCACCCTGCTTGGTTTAGATTTCAATGGGTTCATAGAGAAATCAGAAAATTATACAACCTGATTGAACAACTTTCAGACCTTTACGATAACGCCATTAGAACGATACAGGAGCGAAGAGCAGAGCTTCAAAAGCTCAGAGAAAGAAAAAAGTCAAAGAACAAAGGCGAAAAAGCGAAAGAATCCACCGACTCCACAGACGATATCGATCCCGAAGTC